TAAAAAATGAAAAGTAAAAAAAAATACGTCCACACTAATTTTGTGTTAAAAATTAAATGAATATTGTTATTGCTATAGAAGTTATAAAAACGTGGTCATATTTTGCAAACTTTATTGCCATTTTATCACATTTTATCTAATTACAAATACGCCAATTTGAGGAGTTTCAAAATCAGTTTTCTCATAACTAACAACTTATTGTTAGATTTACGACATATTGAAGTACCACCAGACATGGCAATCTTCATTGTTGTTGATCGCAAATACTCTTTCGAATATTTCAACTATAATGCAAACATAACAATAAATTTCAGTTTCAGACATTTACAGCTGTTGAATTAATCAAGCTTAACATTTAAATCTTTCAATTTCAATTAAATCTATCGACTATAAAAACGTTCATTTTTTATAGAATGTCTTGGACTCGTAAGTGCAACACCAACTATTGAATATTTAATAAAACAAATAGTACTTTTTCATGCTTTGCAAGAATACGCAAATTCTAAAATGTTACCGTAGAGGGCATAATTTACATCGCATTTAAATGAAAGCGTTTTCTTGGTCGTTCTCTACTCAAGTATGATGGTGCCATCGTGTCAAGAAAATTACCATTTTACTTTAAAAAATGCACAATTCTTGATTTCAAACAGAAAGTAAATTTAATATTTATGTAAATGTATAATATATATATATATATATATATATATATATATATATATATCCTAAATACAAAACTTGTTTCTAAAATTATAGTTATATTCAGTGAACATCAGAATGCATTAGCGATAAATAGATAACAATCTTGGTCCGCCAATCAGGTTTACAAAGTCGATTATTGATAATTGAGTTATTATGTTTTGTAAGCACCAAAATAAAATTGGACAATCTTTTCAATTGGCAATTCGCAAATTTGTTTAATTCAATAATCTTTTACTACATCATATTAAGAAATGCTCAATTTCACCCTAAATATTAGCAAAGAGTAGAGGTTGACGAGAGCAAAAATTTAAGATTGTAAAAATTATTAAGATATACTTAAACACTACATTAGACAACACGAAAATTTTTACATGGAACATAATAGAGAAAAGAAAATGAATGGAAATGTCATATGGAACGCAAGTAAAATATTTAATGAACTTCGAATTGATATCAAGATGACCAGTGATGGCAATAACTTCAAAAGAAAAATAAAGAAATACATTAAAGAAATTGAAGAGATATATAAAGATATTTAAATATAAGGCTTATGAATGTTGTGCAATGAAATAGATATAAATAATATGTATATATAAAAATTGTTTCATAATCTCATATACCAGGCACCCGAGATATGGAAATAATGTCGATAAAGGGAAAAAAAAAACTTTTGTTGCAAAATTGACAACGTGGTCGTTTGTCTCGAGATAGTCGAAGGCAAAATGGCCCGATTTAAGGCGATAGCTGGTTACATATCTTTTGCCCTCTACTTTCAAATATTGTTAAAAATTTCTAGCTTTACCTATCTGTGTTTGAGATATTGGTGGTGGACCTTTAAGCCTCACTCTACCTTGTACAACAAATACAAATAGCATCTACTCATCTGCTGCATACACAATCAATTCAAGACATTGATCTTTCGGTAAATATTTTAATCCAAATATTTATTATGTCAATAACCCGTGATCGTCAAAATTACTAATGTACAGTTTCAAAGTACATAATTTCGCCACATGATCATTCTTCGAGATCTATATCAATTTTATTTGTGGAATTTACGCTACTCGTGAACTACTATAGCGCAACGCTAGGAAGTTCATTACATTCGCGGTAGTGACCGTCGATCGCGCCTACAATTAGCCTATAACAAACTGGTTTGTTTGCTTGCAACACGAAATGTTTCGTAATTAAACCTGCTGCACGATCACGATTTCAAAATCGATACTCAATTTCAGAATTTATCACTATTATGAATCGACTACGCCTTATGGTGTTCTTCTAAACATTTATAAAATTAATTAAATTGAAGAATTTTCTCAAAAGTATTTTGCAAGATGTAGGTACATACATTCTCATATTAATTAGATACACTCATAGATACATCCCTTTCAACTCGGATGCCGCCGCCGTTTCGGCATATAACATATAACATATAAATTACAAAATTCGCGAGTGGAAAGGGTTAATCGGAACACATACTATAGTTTAAAATTTTATATAGCACGTGAAACTTCGAATATTCTATTATAATTTAAAGTAGATAATATCTGTTTTTTTTTTAAATAAAATATCTTGAAATCTACGAAATAAAGGCGGATAGGTGCTGTAACTATTTTTCTACCAAATCAAGTAAAATAATTCCTTAACTCCATAACTATTGTTCACTATTCCACAATTAATCATTTTCTAAAAAAAGTACGAGGTTGCAACTTACCCCGTGTTTGAGGCTAATTGTAACATTTTCCGGAGCAAATAATATTAATAATTTTATAAACATTAACATCTATGAAGTGTAAATGTAGCACATTTTTCATGTGGCGTAAAGATATGTCTACATCTTACAAATGATACTCGAATCTGCGTTATTTGTATGATAGCGTCGCCACCAACCAGACAATACCACTCTTCTGATTCAGATTTTGAAACAAAGCATAAAATCTAGTTTTAGTTCTGTTCATCCCAGTCTTATTTTTGTTGATTTTTCTTTGGCTTTCCTCTTTGCCTTTTATTTAATTTTACCTTTAATTTTCTCATTTTTTCTGTTTTTTTTCATTCATTTCTCCTATTGTATTTGAAAGATTTCTTTTTTAGAATTACCCATGAATATGGCAAATTGTCTTTTGCATCTGCTGTTTATATTAGTTATTCGATGTACAATAAAATTTTATTGTACAAAGTTATTCTCAAACCAGTTTGGATGTATGGCATCCATCTATGGGGTGCTGCTAAAGTCAGTAACTTACAAATAATGCAACGATTTCAAAATAAAATACTCAGACAAGCAATATCCGCGCCAAGGTATGTACCGACATGGCTAATTCACCAAGACACCGATACACTCACAATCAGTGAAGAAATTAAAAAGAGTGCCCATAATTTCAAGACTAAAATTGACCACCATCCAAACGAACTGATTGCAAGTCTTTACAACACCACACATAATATAAGATTAAAAAGAATACAATTAATAGATTTAACACATTAATCAATAATAACTTGTTCTACCATATTATTTGAAATAGATGTGCGTATGTATGTGTATATGTAGTCTGTGTAATGTACTTTGTTTTTAATTGTATGTATATTTGAGTTTCTTTTTTTTTCTTTATTATACCAAAATTAAAATATAATTTAGCACACTAATAAAAGGTGAACCACTGGGTTTTCCTTTTAAAATTTAATATGTTATTTGTGAAACTAATTACTCAATGTCTTTTTATTTAGACAGATTGTAATTTATAAGAAAAAAAAATTAGTTATTCTTGGCACCACCTTTGCCCCACCAAGATAAAATGGTCTAATCTTTAAAGGCAAAAACGTTTTTTGTGGATAGGAGCAACTAGGAGGTGGTTCGTTTACAATTTCAGTTTGATTCATAATTTTTAAAGAGCAAGAAACAAAAGTAATTATCTAGACCATAACTGGGGTCATATTGTTACAACTAAGTTACCACTCAAGGTTTTGTTTCAATTAACGCCAGGTGTAATTTTTATCACATATATCAAGACAACTATGAACAATTAAGCAATTACAAAAACTGTTCACTTTGTCAAACATTGATTTAAAACGAATTAAGATTCAAAATTAGTCGAATATAATATAATATAATATTGCAGCGGTTTGCGGACAGTAGCTACGATATGAAGGTTTACATGTCTAATCAGAACAAAAAAAAATATTTTAATCCTTTTTACTCGGATGCCGCCACTTGTTACAATAAGCCCCTAGCTCCCCTATAAAATGTTTGAGATTTTTAAGAAAATGAAAAGCAAATACAATGATCATGGTATATGATTATAAGATGAAGAAAAAAATTGTCTGCTGTTGAAAATGAATAAAAATTTGCACAATACGCGTGATTGGTTTGATGGTTTCCAATTGAAATGTTAGAAACTTATTTTTTTTTACATTTTTTGCACAATTTCACAGTGAACACAATGCCGGTTTGTCACATGAAATTACCTGAGCAGAGAACAATGAATAGCAGTCAAACAAATGAGTAGCAGTCAAACAAAAAATATTAGTTTGTAGTACATGCTAGTGTATCAGAGATGACGCTGTATGTGAAAAAAGAAAAAGTGTTTTCCGCTTTTCTGTTGAAATCTTTCTTCAATTTTCTTTGCTATAAACCTTGCGGAGCCCGAGACTTTTCCAAAGAATGCAAAATCGTCGAAATCGGTTCGTGCGTTCTGGAGTTAAATCGTCAGGAAGGAAAACCCGTCTTATTTATATATATGTAGATAATCATAAAACTAATATGAAGATTTGATAAATTAGATATTGATTTTATTTCAAATAAAATAATAAATTTTTTCATATGTTATACGAAATTTGTTTTTAAATACGATGCCTAATGTACTACGAAATTTTTATACGATATCTAAACATCATATTTACAAACATCTGTTGATGGAAATGTAGATGAAAAAATAGAATTGTTATGGTAATGCTATATTATGGGTGTATAATTATCCCGAGCTGCGCAATCAAGCGTTTTACATATAAAACCTAACTTCACGTATGTGTTATCAAAGAGACATCAAAAAGTTGCGCTTATGATAAAATTGGTATTTGACATTTGTGCATTTTTGAGGTTAGGTTTTATGTGCAAAATACATGATCATACAGCAAATACATAGCTTTTGGCAGGTCGTGCCAAATGCAATTATAAAGCCGTACCATAACATTTTTGTTTTATACGACAGTTGCCCCTTTAATTTACGTATTTGTTAATCATATAACCTGTGTATTTACAATGTTTCTCCACTTTCAGGTCATTTTAATCGCACAATTAAACGATCATGAGCGCACCCAGTATGCAGTGCGCGAGGTACTTGCACACGGCCGGACGTCGCGGGGCGCACGTGGCCAGCATAGCGGCGCCCAGCGCGGAACAAACTTTCGCTCACGCTCTACCCTACAGCCGCGTACCAGGCCCGAGACCTCTTCCCTTGTTGGGGAACACTTGGAGGTAAATTGTGTGAAGTAAATAGAACTAGTGAAGTATGGCATCGTGTTTTAAGGCAAATTGCTGGAACTTCCCGTACCAAAAATGTTTTTTTTTTTTAAAAAGATTAACATTTTTGAAAGATTAATTAGATTATTGAGAAACTAGGAATTTGACAAAAAATTACTTTTGAAAAAAAAATTTTTTTAGAAAAAAAAATGTTTTCTTTATTTTGATATATTTTGGAAATTCTGAACTTTTTTTCAAAGCGTCGCCGTCTAACGGATAAACATTGGTACGAAACCCATATGAATGTAAACAAAATTTATACTTATTGTTAAAATTTCTATAAAATATCTGATAATTTGATGTGCATATGTCTAATGATCATATTTGACCGACAAAGGCCATTTTTTTTTACTTTTTTTACAAGATTTCCGAAACCGCTAAACCTGCCTTCATGAAAATTTGATCAGTTTTTCATCTTGTTAATACAAGTAAAATGTTTTTTGAATTATTCTAATCGGATGCTCCGTTCTCTTAAAAACTGGGTTACCGTTTTTGGCATTTTTTGCCCCATATATTCGGAACGACTTAACCTGCATTTGCCAAAACTAATCAGCACGTCTCCTTATCAATACAAATCGAATGTTTTTTGAATTATTCAAATCGCTTCATCCGTGTTCCCGCAGTAGTCGACGAAAATTTGTATCCGCACACATACATACACGCACATACACACACACATACATCCATTTTTCCGAAGGTATGCCAAAATGTTCATTAGGTTTTGAAACGTAAAGATATATAAGAATTTGCATTTTCGATTTTTTTGCTATTACTATAACTTGCCCTTGTTAAAAATAAAAAAATAAATTTGAAAAAACGGATCAATACTATCGAAAATGTCAAGGATATTTGTTTATAAATGAACTTTAAATATTATAAATTTTGGTACGGAACCCATAGAAATGGAAATAAAATTTGTTCTCATTATTTAAATTTTTATAAAATATCTGATAATTTTATGTCCATATGTCCAATGATCATTTTTAACCACTAAATGGCATTTTTAAGGATATTGGATCTCCGAAACCGCTAGATCTGACTTCCCAAATATCAAATCAATTTTTCATTTTGTCAGTACAAGTGAAATATTTTTTGAATCATTCAAATCGTGCGCTCCGTTCTGTCAAAATAAATTGCTCTTTTTTGCTAAAAACTAATTAGCACGTCTTTCCATCAACAACAATCGAATGGTTTTTGAATTATTCAAATCCGTGTTCTCGAAATCGTCGACAAAATATTTTACGCATACACATACGCATCCATTTTTTCTAATGCATGCCAAAATGTTCAGAAGGTTTTGAAACAAAGATATATAAACAAAATTTACTTCGTTTTTTTTGTGATTGCTATAACTTACCCCACGGGAAGTTAAATATTCTGATTTTTCTGAAAACCAAAGTTTTCAAAAAAAATCAAAATTTCAAATTAGGGCATAGAAATTTTCAACAATTTGCCTTGAAGCACAATGCCATGCGCCACTAGTTTGCTTATTTATTTCATTTTTTATTTTTCGTGGTATGCAATACATTTATATTATTAAAAAATAGCTTTTATTTTATTTAATTTATATTATATTTACTTAAAAAGAAGTATTATGGAATGACTTTCTAATTTATTCGGATAGATAGATAGATGAAAGATTATTATTTATAAGGATAAAAGATTAGATTCGCTACAGTAAAGAATTAGTTAACAATTCCCCAAAAACTTAATATAAAATTTAAACGACATTAAGCTTAGTAATAAAATTATATTGGACAAATGGTAATATTTGGAAAAAAAATTGTAATATTGTATATATGGCAGACCATTCAAATTACGTTAAATTAGTAAAATTATAAAAGAATTTAAATTTAATATTTGAACTATTTAATAATATTTTTACTATTTTTTGATGTTACAAATAATAATTAAAGACTTTCTTAAAATTCAGTTTTTGAAATATTGCAAGATATTAATTTGTAGTAGAGATATTATGGAGCTACATAATTATCTAAAATATTATGTTATACTTAAATATTAAAAGCATTCAAAACTACTTGATAACAATAATAGTCTCATAATCTCGTCATTCAAGTATATAAACATTCCGGAGCATTGTAATGTTCTTCTAAACGTGATCGGATATCTCTCTAAATAATTACCGATGAAAAAACTTGTAGATCCGTTTTTTTGTCTAAGAAACGGCAGCATGCATTCATTGCCAACATAATTCATTTTGAACTTGACCAACTTTGAAGAGTGTAAATATCACGAATAGATATTTAACTACGGAAAATTATTTATATGCGTCGAATGTTTATTGTCATGGTCAGTACCAATTCAAAGACGTGATTATTAATAATTGTCATATAAAAAATAAAATATTGTTTTCGAACTAAAATTAATAAATGTTGTAAGGGAACTTGAAACTTAATCGGTCAAACGTGATAAATATATCAATATTTTGGGCTTTTCCGTGACCTAGTGGTCAAAGTTATGGTCTTCGAACCAGATGTTTCCGTCTCAGACAGCTTGATGTCATGCAATAGTGACATTGGTTTCTACTTGGAAATATAATAGCAGTATATTTTCATTTCGACATATTTTTTTAATTAATTTTCCAAATAGCAATCAACACAATTAACTATTCTATAATCTATTCAGATGTGCGTATCTCAAATCCTCAAATATTTCAGTTTGGCAAAAGAAAAAAGAAAAAATACTTTCATGTAGAGTACTCTCCAGTGAGAGCATCCAATACGATAAATCAAATTAAATCAAATGGCTATTTCTTCTTAAGTTCTAGGACCTGCATTGACGAGCAGTGGCGATAATGTGATGTTCATCACTTGCAATCTCTCCAAGTAAAAATAGCCCTTACCCAAAAACGTGTATCAATATTACAGAAAATGTAATAATAAATTTATCAAATAGTGATAAGGCAACCGCAGAGTTGCCTCATGAAAAGCGAGAGAGTTCAGTCAATATCTTACTGAGGTATAGATAACATAAAAGTAAGGATATTGAAAGAATTTGTTAGGAAAAGCAATTGTTCTACTGACAAAATTATAACGCATTTTTTAGATTTGGATACTGGCCTGAATGTTTTCAAATATTAGAAGTTATGATTTTAAAACCAAGAAAACGGCTTCAATGTTACATCATACTAGACCAATTAGTTTACTGCCAATTATCTCCAAATTAGTGAAAGAACTATTATTAGCTAGCATAGAGAGGAGTATGATCTTCTCATCTTCTGGTCATCAATTTGGATTTAGAACCCAGCACTCAACAATACAACAATGTCATAGGTCCAAAAGACACTAAAATCAAATAGTATCCAAAAGATACTAGAAATAAAGGTATATTGTTCAGCAATATTGATCGACATTAAAGAGGCATTTGATAAAGTATGGCACGAAAGCCTATTCTTCAAAATAAAAAATTCTTTGCCGCACAAGATATTTTCACTATTTTACTATTTACAAGGAAGTTTTACTAATGTTACAACAAACGGAGTATTCGGAGCTAGAGTCCTTGCATCACCTTACAGGAACCTTAATATCTGATAGCTGTTCAAATAAAACCTACAAAACAGTGATGAATGCTTTCGAAACTCCCGAGTTCGATCCCTGCTCCAGCCTGATCTCAAGCAGTAGTGGCATCGGTATTCACTTGGAAATTTAGAAAGCAATTACTCCAAGTGAAAATAGCCCATAGAGCGCTAGAGTGATAGGATCTGAATCAGAAATAAGGAGTTCGATCCCTGCTTCAAACAGCCTGATATCAAGCAGTAGTGACATCGGTTTTTACTTGAAATTATAGGTAGCAATATGTGTCCAAGTGAAAATTGACCACAAGTAGCATGAGCGACATAATCTGAATCAGAGGTCCTGGGTTGATCACCGCTTCAAACAGCCTGATATCAAGTAGTAGTGGCATCAGTTTTTACTTGGAAATATAGATAGCAATATGTTTCCAAGTAAAAATAGCCCATTAGTGGCTTGAGCGACATGATCTGAATCAGAAGTCCTGAGTTGATCCGCGCTTCGAACAGCATGATATTAAGCAGTAGTGACATCGGTTTTCACTTGAAAATGTAGAAAGCAATATGACTCCAAGTGAAAATAGCCCATTAGTGGCTAGAGCGACAGGGTCTGAATCAGAAGTCCTGAGTTGATCCGCGCTTCGAACAGCATGATATTAAGCAGTAGTGACATCGGTTTTCACTTGAAAATGTAGAAAGCAATATGACTCCAGAAAAATAGTCTTTGTCCAGCATTAATAACTTATACCATTAATAAAAAAGCAAAGCTGCATCACTTTTACAATAAATGTAATAATAAAAATCATCACATAGATATGAGAAAACTGTTTGGGTTGCTATCTATAAAAAACAGACATTGTTTTTAAGGAATTCATTACAACAACTTAGGCCCCTTGAGTTCTGATAGTTGTTATAAATAATCAAAAATTATAAACCCAATTAAATGCAATGTAGCAATGTCTGCGTTTACGTTATTGAATAAATAAATATCAAATCATTGCACGAGATCTCTTTGCACGCATTTTAAAATATATATATATATATATATATATATATATATATATATATATATATATATATATACAATATAATCTGGAATAAAAATATACAGTTACTATCGGTTCAAATAGTTCAAACAGTTACCATGAAGAACTCGTTTTCATCTTATGTCCGATGCATTTAGTCATGCATTAATTAAGCATCAAAGTCAAAAATTCATTGTCAATCAAAAAATTAATTATAAAATAATAAATTAAGCAAAAAATCATTAGGTCATTGCTATGTATATTAAAATTAAAATACCAATCTGCACGGCGATTAAGGCATGGCCATCAAATGTTTATATTCGATAACATTACAAGGACTTATGTTTGATAAATTTGATAAATAAAATTTCCACAAAAAATTAATGAAGTGCGACGAATAC